GGAGTACTAATCAGCCATAAAGAAGGATAAACTGGAGACTTTATGAGTAAATGGATGCAACTTAAGGCCATACTTACAAGTGAAATAAATCAGCCATACACATGTAAACCTTGTATTGTCTCTTTGGTGTGAGAAACTGAAAGAGTATGGTCTAAAATGTACAACTGATATTGCGAGATGGAAAAAAATTGTTCACAAGGAAATGGCAACTAGTATTGGGGAGAGGGGAAAGGATGAAGGAGAAAAAGAAAAGTAGTCATACTATTAGTGTTTCTTTGCTCAATGAAAGGGAAAGTCTGTGCTAATATCAATTGGAGAAAATTTTAATGCCCATGCCTTATCTACAAACAGCTACTTTAAGATAACAATATTCAATATATTAATGATTATTCTGTTGTTTTGTTATGAAGTTTTGTTTTATTTTTATCATAAAAATAATTCTATTATCTGAAAAAAGCACCTTGGCTGTTTGACATAGTAACTTACAGTTCAGTATTGGCTTACCTTTTGAGTAAAACAGAGGCAATATCTAGATGTAATATCAAACACTTTGGTATTTCAAGAGTATTAACTTTATATTTAACACTATCTTTGGCAAATCAGGGATATATGGCATGCAAGTTATATACCTCATTGAGAAACAAATTTACATTGTTTTACTGGTAATTTGATGGTATAAGTCCTGGAATTAGAATTTTAATAAAATAGAATCCAAAACACAAGTTTTATTCTGCAATTTACAAATGGTAGTGACAAAGAAAGCCACTCATTCGGTCTACAAAATCTAAGCCCTTAGAAATGATGCTGTATGCATTAAAAGTGATTAAAAATGAGATAGGAAAAATAATTAGCTCTGATGCCCACATCCAAATATTCAGAATTCTTCACATTTTTTTGTTACAGAAATTTGGTTTTATCTAGATTCATCTAAAGGATGAGTTAACTTAATTTTCAAAGGAGAAAAGAACTTTGAACTACATGCATATATGATTCATTAGTTATCTAAACTATCTTTATCTTGTAACAGTCTTTCTCTTAAGAATTAATCAACCTTTGCTAAGCACAGTGACCATGCCTGGAATCTCAGCACTCACAAGGCTGAGGCAGAAGGATTCCACATAATGACAGCCTGAGTCAGAAAGCCAGAAAAGAATCACCAACTTTTAAAATGCTGTCAGTCAACTTCTAAAATATTTAAATTTAACATTTTGGTTTGAAGTTAGATAACTTTTAGAAAGACAGACTTCACATTTTAGAATAACCATCTCCACGCAGAGCTTGCAAGTCTGCTTCCCCTTCTGGGAACTCTTTTCACTGCACTGCATGTAGATTTTACTCCAATGGCAAAAACTTAATTTCACATCATTGCTTCATTGTAAAGACTAAGTGCTAATTCTGTGTATCATTATGTAAAAATGTGGGCAATACTGGAGCAGGCAACCAGATGATACCTTTTTGTTTCTAAAGTAGTGTTTGTGCTAGGCTATCTTTTCCTAAGATGGAAAAAAAGTCAAGTTTATATACATAATAAGACTAAATTTTACAATATATGTATATGATTTACCAGAACATTAAGTGTTTGTACTTTTTCTTTTTGCAGTACTGGGGACTGAACTCAGGACCTTGCGCTTGCCCGGCAAGTGCTTATTCTACTGAGCTATCTCCCTGGCCTGTGTTTGTATTTAAAAACAAAAACAAAAAATGAAACAGCAAAATGAGCTTGCAAGTCACAGCACCAAGTCTAGGCAACTGAGCAAGACTATCTCAAAATAAGAAAAGGAAACAGCTGTACGCAGCTCAGGCTAAAGGTCTTCAGAATTCAATCCCAAGGACCACAAAAGGCATGAATGAATGAACAACTGAAGTCCGTGTCTGCAAGTACAGATTTTAAGTGTGGAGCTGTATTATAAAAAAAAAAAATTGAAGTTAAAAATGTTTGCCTTTAAAAAAGGGAAATCCAGTAAATAACTTATTAGAAGAATATTTAAGACTTTTTAGCTTAATATGGTAATCCACAATTAATGACAAGATCAGTTTTTAATAAAACATCTATTTTCTGAGCCAAATACATAGATGCTTTATTAAATATGTACTCTGAAAGCTACTCTTAGTTCTCTGAAATTTACATTACAAACTAGCTTGCGCCATTTCACTAAGTAATTCTAGCGTTGATCTTCATTGCTATACACTCTGAAAAAGATGTCAAAAACTCTAAACTAGTACGAATGATTTAACTTGGACTTAAATATATAACACTTAAGTTATACTTTAGACTGCAGTTTACCACTGTATTACAGAAAAGGCCTTTACATTAGCCATATTTAGTAACAAGAAAAGTATACACCCAGTATTAAAGAGGGAAAACAAAGCATGAGGTATAAAACAGCTATGTTGGCAGGTTCTTACTCTTGCTAAAATTCAGGTTTGAATTATGATTATGTCACACCTTCAATATGAAGTCGAAAGTATTAGCTTAAATCTTAGTCAAAGTCATAAGGACATAACCATATAATTCAACTAAGTGGCCTAAGCATTTTTCGTCTTGGTGTTAACAGTCCACTACTTCCCCTTTACAACTCATCAACTCTGTACACAGCAGGGTTCAGAATGATAGACCTTTCCCCCTTCATTCTCACATAACCTACAGACACAAAATAGACACAGAATGCAAGGAAAACAATGAAAAATGAAAGAAATCTCTTGCCACCCTTAGAGTAGCTAGCTACCCTAGGGGCATTTCTAAGTTTAAAAAAAAAGAAAGAGGCAATATAAAAACCTCTTTAAAAATAGAAGAAATTAGACTAGTTTGGTTTTCTTTAATATCTTCTTTAATACGACATTACAGCGCACAACTGAGGCCCCAGTGTGTCAGTTAAACATGGGGATGTGTATCCATATGAATAGAATGGAAACCAGCTTAATCTTAACCCCAATCCTTTTGGCAGCTAAGGTAAATACAGAACATAAGTGGATCAGTTCTCTCAGCGCATTTTATCAGGTTTTTGAAGACACCACAGTAGTTTTAAAACAAAGTTTGCTACGATCTATTAAGGAATTTTCAAATGAAGTAACATGTTTAAGAGTTGTAATCTCTTTATAACAAATTCAAACATAATACATGAAGGATTGTATTTACAATCCCCATATTAAGAATTAATGTCTTATGCAAGATCAATCCATCTATTTCCTTACCACTGCCAATCAAATATGGTGTCTTCAGCTGCTTATAAAAAGGTCAAATACAAGAACAAAAAGCTTTTATTGTGAGTTACAGTCAGTAAAACAAAAGAAAAAAATTAACCTCAAATTCATGAATGGGGTTTAAATGTTACTAAAAATAAACATACATATGCTCTGAGCATTTTCAAAACTTTTAAACTGTAATTTAACCAGAACTTCTGTACCATCCAGAAGAAATTAGGTAAGATTCTAATGTTCTGGTAATCAACATATTAGGAAACAGCAGATATTAAGTATGAAACTTAGGAAATTAAACACATGAAACAAAAAGGACTGTATTTTAAAATGAGGGTCTTAGAATATGAAATGTTAAAAAGCTATCAGCACTTAACTTTCCTTGCAAGTATTTAAACTTATAGTGAAGACAAAGTGAGCAGAATATGCAGTTACAAAACAAATGCAGTGATGAGTTACAGCAGAAAGAAGGAATGCATTCTGTAATCCACAGGATCAGACAGGCAGTTCTAAGTAATCATTGGTAAATACTTCAGTGTTCTTCCTATCATGTTAATTGTAAAATTTAAGTGAGTTATAGCAGTTTCACTTGTACAATAGTTGACAAAACTGAATTATAAGAATGCTAAAATTAAAGTCTTTAATTGGGTGGAATTTACCTTATTCAGCTGAAAAAAACTATTTCCCCACCTTCGATTCAAAAGAATGACAACTGGCCTACAATACTTCTCTAGTTCAGATGGAACTGTACTGTACATTTACTCACTGACTTTAGGGACCAGCAGAAAGTAAATTCCTAAACCCGAGAATCCACTTAGAAAGAGAGTACTCTGGGAAAAAACCATTATTAAGATCTTCCTGTTAATGCAAAAACCCATTCATAAAATTGGCAAAATAACTTCTGAAAATTCCTTCAAATATTTCAATTTCAAATTAAAGTATTTAAAAATTAGATTATATTTTAAAAAATAGGATAAAGAATTCTATGCTTCTCATGTTTGCACATAAGTCCAAAAATGATCTCATATACAACCTTGAAGCAGGACAGTCCCACAATATTCCTTTTCCTGTCTCTTGCTTTCCTTCACCACCGCCTTCTTCTTGAACATCAAATTAAAGTACCTGAATATTCAAAAAATTTAGAAAAGATAGTTACCAGTTCACATTTCTTCTACTGTACTTTGTGTTAAACAATAGGCCTAATGATTATTTTGTTACAGCACATATTTCAGAACCTAGTCTTTTAATAGTTCACTGACAATCCACTCCCTTTTATGGATTTATCAGTTATATGTAAGATAGAGCCAGAGCCAGTTCAAACAGCAAGTTTCAGTATTCCAACTTCAAACACAGGAGATAATCAGAGAGGCAATGACACCTAATTGCAATGTACTAAAGCAGCAGATGTCATTCTTCACCTAGATCATCAGCTGCCAATAATGTAGCGCGCACAATTTTGATGAATGAGTCTACCCTAGGTTTAACGAACCTGCCACTGAGCTGGAAAAGGGTTGCATGTGCAATTCTTGCTAATGAATTTACTACTTTCATAAGGCAAATAAGGAGAGTTAGAACAGAATTTCTAGAACCATTTATCCTGTGATGTTGTAAAATCAAAGTACTACTTTATTAAATGAGTTATTTT